ACCGTTCAACCGGTTGGTACTGAACAGTGTTCATACTACGCATATACTCAACTATATCCCCCAATCTGATTCATTGTTTGTGCTCCCTTCATTGCCGTCATCAGCGCAAGAAAAGCTCATACTATGTAAGTCTATGGCATTATCCCCTCGTTTCATCATCAAGCACCGACCATGAAGTACCAAGTTCTCATCAAGGCCATCAACGAGCAGCAAGGTTTTCTCGACAACCGGGCCACTGCCAGTGCGCGCATGGAAACATCTGAATGCGCCTGAGAACGGGTTTGCCTTTGGGCCAGCAGCAACATTGCGCAGCTCTGCTGTTGTCTACGTCAAAATTGTTGCAAAATTGACGCTACGGGATTTGCTCCCTGTGAGTTCGAGGCTGTTCGGAGTATCTTCACTCGACTAAGTATACGGGCACATTATTCAGCTGATTCTAGCAAGATCTGCACTATTGTTGGCAGATTTGTTAGAAGGAATGTCCCATGGGTGTGAAGGGAATTTGACCTCAGATCTCGACGCGAGAGACAGAGTTGACAATGTTGTTCTAGTGATACTTTTGTCGCTGGCGTGTCGTGGTCATGGTATTGGGTGGGTTTATAGAGACAGAATCATACAAAGTGCAGAGCCAGTAATAACCAAGCGTTTCGCAATTGTAGGATACCAGCGTAGTCGTACTACTAGACCGAGACACTTCGCATCTTCAAGTTCAGCAAGCAGATTCTCGAGAGAAATCACCAGAAAAGCGGGCAATCTTAAGAGAGAATGAGACTGGCTCTTATCAACAAGAGAATTCAAACAATTTGGAGGCGTATAAACCATGAAATGGAATTTTGTGGATGATGGTTGAAATAAAGGGCCGATTGATGGATGACAAATCTATGCGTTTAGCTCGAGTTGTTCTGTCATGACCTCGAGGCCAACCTGTTTTCTTACGCGTCGCGCCGTGGAAACTGTTTTCATTGCAGTTCATGAAGCTTACGATTGAATCATACAACGTAGAGGGATGGAATGATTGGATGAATTGGTAGGTTTTGACACGGATATTGGCAAATGGGATGTGAGTGCGTCTGCCACTGGGAAAAGCCACTTGATGCTGACATTTGGACTCTGCATTTGAAATAGGGAGACGAACTCATGTTCTAACTCTCGAGTTTCCTGCTTCTCGATTCCTTGGCCCGGGCGCAACTTTCCACCTCACGTTCAACTCCCCGCGCTGAGCTTGCTCTCTGGAGTCTGAACCAGGTCTTGGTTGACATCACACCCTCCTCGTTCACTTCCTGTTCGTTCATTCGTCCCTCGATTAATCATAGGGTGTCCTCCCTCTGCCGTTGACGAAAACGACCACAGACATCACTTCTCTACCAGTCACTTATGTACTGGAATTTGGATGTGGGAACGTCGATCTTTTGAATTCAATCTGTGAGGTCTTCCGGCAGAAAAAAAGGATGGGACGATGGATAATTTTGACGACTGGTTGATATGACGAAGAAGATCTAGAGCCGAGGCAGGGAGACCTAGATGGATGAGTTTTGCATGGAGATCGAGATTCGTCGGGGATGATAGTTTTCGAACCTGACGCATGGTGAACGTAACAGTCGGTTTAGGTGTTTGCATGGGGTTGCCCTGTATGTTCTTTCGCTCTCTCTCTGCTTTCATTTTTATACGTACTCATTTCACCTCTATAGTGAGTTCTTGGCCTCCCTCCGCTACCTCTCCCTTCCGTTCTACGACCCACGCACCATGCCCTCCGCCATGCTCTCATCTGATATCTGGCCTCGAGCTGCATAGTCGTCGACCCAACCTTATCTCACCCTCGCTCTTTACGTGGAGCCGAATGGTTGTTGAAGATTGGTTGCTTCGTTATTTGCTGGTAGACAGACAGGAGGAAGCGTGTCAATATTATGGTGGTACTATACATACATATGTAAAAGGTTGAATAACTGGTTAATTCCTTGCGGTGCACCGCATGGAATATCACTGAAGGAAACCACAGCAGGGCGCCATACAGTTTTCTGAAAAGAAAACAAAAACGTATACATACACATCGAGACTCTTCGCCTGGGAGTCGAACCCAGCTTTCGCGCGATTCGGATTTATGACAGGCGCGTGTACTAACCGATATACTAGCGAAGAAGTTACTTTCGCACCTTGTCCTAGTACCAACAGGAGACTCAATATCTTCGCCTAGTTGAAGCCAGCTTCAGCGATTGGGGTCTAGACCAATGGAAATTGTAGCGTTTGCATTAACCAATGGACTACCGAAGCCATTTGTATGGTGTATGCAGGTGCATGGAAGGTCAGCAATGGGAACCCATGCTTTCTTGGAAGTTTAGAGGATCTAGTATTGACCTCAGGATGCCCTGGGCCCTCCTGAAGTATTCAAGGATTCATTAATACCGATACTCAAGCAATTGGAGTAACCCTGATGCAATAATTACCGTGGGTAGCAAAAAGAACGGTCAAGCATACAATATCTTTGCCAATGCCTAGGTGACGAACCCAGCTTTCACAGTGGCGCGTGATCTTCGATTGCTCCCTGCAGATATAAAGAGGACTAAGTTGAAAGCGCGTTGCGTGTACTCCGAGGTACTAACGAAGACTTACGACAGTTATCCATGTGGAATACTTCCTATTGAGAGACGATGTCAGTCGTGAGCCTGTCAAGAAAGTTGATGGCGGGTCTGGTCTCTGAAAAAAAAATAGGCAACTTAAACAACGAAGAAACTTCACCCGGGAGTTGAACCCAGCTAGCTTGCACATATCTGGTGGGAATCGCTACATGATATGGCAAGCGCGTGTACTTCCTACCAATGTACTAGCGAAGCTATTTGAGGTTGGTTTAGGGAGTTATAAGCATGAAGATATT